CATAAATGAATATAAATAACCCAGCATTGGGTTGGATGGTGGCACAGTCGGTTGTGCTTTCGGTTTGGGCTCATTCCTTGATGGTTCAATTCCATCTCCCATCCACAATTTTTCCACAGCATGAACATGAATACAATAGAATGTTCTGTCAATCTTTTGATATTGTATATGTTTTGATATTATTTAAAAAGTGATGTTTTTGAAGGTCTTGAACAAAGGAAAATGTTTGAAGTTTTTGTTTGTAATTTTGAATGTTTGCAAAAATTGACCGCTTGAATATTAAGTTCTTTAACTATGGTAACGCTAGTTATAAACAACATATTCCTCTTTTTTAATAGCATATTCAAATAATAATGACGATGTATATAATTTATTAGCTGAACAAATATTGTTTTACATTTTATTTCAGCTACCCATTCATTTGATTTATATATGAAAACCTTTATTTATTTATTATTTGTTAATTTATTACTAATTATTTTTGTTATTATTCCTATAAAATGCGCATCACAAAAGAATGCCAACCCAGATGAATTTAAGAAAATTTCAGATACTGGCGCTTCATCAAGCTCTTTAACGAGCTCTTTAAATCCAACCGGTATTTTTTCTCAATAATTCTTTTTCTGGTTTCATTTTATGATTTTAAAGAATGCTAAAGTATCTTTTGCAATGTTTAAAAATATTTAAAGAATTGTTATAGTAATAATGGCCCCCAAATTCCTAATTCAGTCAACCTGAGCAGAAAATCTCCTTTTTCTGGTATTTTTGGTCTATTACCAAAAATCATTGTCAAATCTAACAATGATAGAAATTTGGAAGTGAAATAATTTATCAAGGGATAGAATATCGAAGGCTTCTGTCTTTTTTAATTTTTTTAACTTTAACAAGAATTAATATACTACTATTTTATAGCAAATGAATTCAACCCAAGAGAAGATATAGTTCGCTACCATCGTATGTAATATGTATTAAGGTTGTCGGATCCGGATATCCGGATCCGGAAAAAGACTGAATATCCGGAAATGTTTGGTTGGGGTATCGTATCCGGATATCCGAACAGTTCAAACTATCCGACAACCTTTATATTTACAATTTTTTTGTATTAGTAATTTTTTAAAAATATTGATGCAAATATGAATGCAAAAATATTATTGTAGGTTCTTCATTTGATGAGTTAGCTTTCAAACAATTCTTATCTGTCGGATGGCTTAATCCAACAGTTATGCAAACTCCAAATCTATGGAATTTTCCCAATTATAGTGAATTTCATTGGAATCAACCTGAAAAACAATTTATTACGGAGTTCGATCATGAAAGGATTATAAACAAAATATCACAACATTTTGATGAATTTGGGTGGCCTGAAGAGGAAAGAGTATTAATTGAAGATAAAGTTTGTAAATAGCTTTCTTGCCATATATGTCATATTTTTCTATAAGATAACCTTTAAAAATTACCGAAATCCCCCAAGAAAGTTTTCGAGTCAAGATCAAAACTAAGGGTTTGAGCTTCTCTACTATAACACCTTGTATAGAAATGCTGATTTTAAAAATAAGAGTATATATCTTACAAAGATTTTTGCTAAAATAAATCAGAATTTATTATTTTTAAGCATTTGATAGGCATCAATTTGTTATCAGAAAAAGCAAATTGGATTTTAGAAATTGGATCACATAGTGGAGATTCAATAACAGAAGATATAGTAACAAAAAAGTATCAAAAGTTCGGACATTGTAATAATAAAAATGTTTTAAAGACACTTGAACTGCTTGATAGATATGCGAGGTTTATTTAATAAAACTAACGAATCTTGATATAGTAAACTTTCAAATTAACTGACTTTTCGATATGATAGAGATAGATCGTTGGTTCCTTCCTAAGATTTATTTTTCAATTATTTTGAAATTTTAAGTTGTGTAGCTAAATGGAATAAGAGGAATGTCATAACAATAACAGGGCCAATATCAGTACTTGTTTCAGAAAAAACTGAAAGGAAGGAAAGTGTTAAGAGTTATCCGGTATGGATTTGTTAAATTTTTAAAATAATAAAAGTAGAAAATATTATAATTCTATGAATTTCTGAGTTCAAAAAAGTTTAGGACTTCAATGTATACCCTTGGCCCAATTTGTAAGACACTACGGAATTTATATATTGAGTCATTTTGGCCAAATAAAATTGTCGTTAGTGAGACTAACGTTCAATTGGTAAGTCGTAGATCTAAGTTCCAAATGTACTATTTGTTTATTCTACATTTATGTTAACTTATTATTTAAGTTCAACAATGAAGTAAAGCATCCTCCAATAACTCAATTTTTCAAAGTTATTATTATTGAATATGAACGTAGAAATTATTGTGCCGACATAATTTTTACTGAAGCTAATTGCAATGAAGATACTAAATCTGATGATATTTCAGGAGAAAATTGTGGAAAAGATTGTTTAGATAATTGGGACTTCAAAAATTATATTAAAGATCATAAAACTATGGGAGAATTATTCAAAAATAAATTGGAATTTTTAGAATGGTATATTGGCTTTGAGTTGATTGATTTGTCGCATAATTCTGGATTTGATAAAATAAAGAAATTAGGTACGTGGATCTTGAATATTGAGTGAAGACATGGGGTTCGGCTAACGTTTCAATAGATTTTCGGATTGGGGTTCGGGTAAAAAACGAAGCATTGTAAATTACCGTTTCTAAAAATAAATTTCAGATACATGCGATAATAAAAAATTATTCGAAGCAACGATTCCAAATTTTAAAGAATCATTGAAGTCAACCTTCAAAAATAAATTTATTAAATATAAAAATGAATTTTCATTTTCTAAAAGATTCAAAAATATAAATTTGAGTGATATAAGTGTGGAAAATAAAGAAAAATATAAAAAATCAAATATTCGAATATATCAAGTTTGTTAAATTTAAAATTCAAAATTTATATTTTATTTTCAAGGATTTTATCATAAATTTTAATAGAAGGAAGAGAATACCAAATTGGGTTTTGGAATATATAACAAAGGAAAGTATGAATAATTTACCAAATGAAAAATTTTGGTGGTCAGATGATCCAAACTTTTCAAAATTATTCCAGCCGGAATATAATGATTATGAGTGTCATCCGGTTTAATCAAATCTTTTTCCCCTAAATTTTGTAAATTAAGAACTCTATATATAATCATGGCCATCTAGCAACGGGAAATTTTCATCCACACGAGCAAGGCTTTTATCTTACAAATTCAGTGCCACAATACAAGGATGTTAACAGTGGTCATTGGAGGGTTATTGAAGAATACATTAGGTAAATACATTCAGTGCCCTTAGGTAAATACATTCAATAACATCAATCATCTTATTTCCTCTAATTGAATGCCCTGTCCAGTTAATGACCCAATCTAATAGAATGCCCCTCTAGAGAATGATTTAAGAATAGATACCGCCGAGATTTATGAGTTTACTTTAAAACTTACATAATTTGTAGATATCGAGGATATAAGAGGATTTAGAAAGATATCGATGTTTTATGGGCGATATCCGCGGATTTAGAGGGATTAAAATTTTAAGCGTTATAATATTGTATTGCTATATAGGAGTGATATATTAATAAGATAAGTTTTGTTAATTTAAAGTTATTGTAGATCTTAATAATTGAATATGAATATTTTTCGTATCTTCGAATCCAAATTATCTGAATAAATACTATGTATATAGAATTAAGAGGATTTATGATGATAGCTTGGTTTTAGAGTTAACCGTTATTTGAAGCGAATAAGTTGGAACTTGTTAAAACTTGTTAAAAAAATAATACACGGCATTCCGTTAGAGGAAATACAGTATTTAAATTATGTATTTTTCGAATAATTAACCCTTTCCCTCCCGATTGATTATCCGCTTCAATCAGAACATAACAAATAAATATCTGGAGTAATTATTCGAGATGATATGATATAAATATATAATTATATTTTAAGTTGTATGGCAAAAGAAGCAGAAGAAACATATATTTATTCAGGACCATTATTTTTGCCAAATCAAGAAAAAAATTTAATGGAATTTCAAGTAATTTATTGAAATAATTGTCGATAATTAGTTAATTCTGATCGGTCTGCCAGAAAGATAATCCTTTTTACTTGAAGCCTGAGTTTATTTCTTATAAATTCCTTCAAATTACAGGTTCTTGCTCATTTCAGAGGCACAAGAAATAAACTAAAAATTTGGCTATGGTCCGAAAATTATCTCGAGTCGAGTCTTGTTAATTTTGTTCCTGAGTCTTGGTTCTTGTCTTGTCTCGAGTATTGGAAAATTTTGGACTTGGACAGCTCTAGCTAGTAGAAGGGTTTGTTCGAGACTCACTAAACTAGGCTATTAAATTGGGCTTCTCAAAGTCCTGGAAATATCGCTAAATAGTAACCATGCAAAGACGGCAATTGCTTTTGCACGTAAAAAGAGCGCATTGAATACTCACAGCTCAGTTCTTCTACCTACATAATCTCAGATCCCAACATAATTGCAAAATAATTAATTTATTTGTAATTTTAGGTTATCGGTCCAAAAGAAATTTATGTACCTACACATTTATTCGAAATTGTCATCCTTAAAATTTATCATAATTCTGAATGGAAGTATTGGTTGGAATCTTATGTAATGACGAATACAGATTTAAATGAATTATTTGACGTAAAGAATGGTATGTTGTAGATAGAGATCTTTTTATTCTTTTTTGAGTCGAGCTTGATAAACCAAAAGTTTGAAGTCGCTAAGACAATCAAAATCTTAGCTTTAGCTCAGCTTGCTCGGGATCGGCTAAGGTACTAGCCCTCGTTTCCTTACATTGCCCCTAAACTCTTCTCTCAAATATCACACTCAATGATATGTATAATGCAAATGAAAGTCATTTAGAAAAACTTTGAAATTAACTATTCGACACATCTGGGCCAACGGCCTATAATCTTATATATTATATTAATTTTCAGAAGAAACAACGCGATTCCTTCCTGATGGTTCACCAAAAATTGTTAATAATTGCCGAAATATGCCATATTTCCTAGAACATGTGGAGGCATTAAAAAAATACACAGAGAATAATTTTCCAAGACATATAGTTAATTTACTAAAATATTATAGAAGGTCATATAAATTTATTGAAGAAAATAGTGACTTTCGATTGTTAACTTTGTTAAGTGAGAAAATAAAAGGGATAGAAGATGGTGTTCTTTTTGATATGGAAACTGAAAGAGTTAAGGATAAAAGAAATGGCGAAGTAGAGATAAATAAGGGAAATTTTAAAGAAGAGATAAGTATAGATAAATATAGTGATCTGACAGAATCGAAGAATGATAGTTTATCCAAAAATATTGTTGAATTAAGTCATAATAAAATAGAAAAAGGAAAGGGAAAAGCAAAAAGAAAAGCGAAAGGAAAAGGAAAGGAAAAAGTTATTTTTTGAATATAATTTTGTTATTTTATTAATTATTTCAGATGGAAGTTGATCAGATGGTAGATAGTCAACAAAAATTATTTAGTGAGCACAAAAAAGATCCAAGTATTGAGTTGGTTCAAAAGAACTTGGAGATTGGCAATAAATCAGAGACTGCTCAATTAAATAAAAATAATGCATCGAATATTCGAAGTTTACCTAAGGAAGAGGAATGGCAGGAAATTAAAAGTAAAAGGAATAAAAAAGGAAAAAACCAAAATAAAAAAATAATTTTCGAGGAAAAAATAGAGGAGTTCATAGAAAGTTCGAAAGATTCCGTTGTAACAAATTATTCTACTTTAGTAGCTGACAATGAAATAAATAAGGTTATTAATCCAGTACTTGAAAAAACAAAATCAGCGTCAGAGGATGAAAAAGTTTGGATATTTTTTAATAATATTATAAAGTTTAACTCATTTTATCCTTAATTTTCTGAGATAAAAAATATAATTTGCGATTTAGAAACTCAAGTAACTATTTCATGCTTTTCCTGTATGGCTAGGCAAAATTTGTCTTAATTTTAGTATTTCTTTTACAGGCAGTAGTTTATTTATCTCTAAGCCAAGATAATATTTATCAATCCTTTCGGAAAATAGAAATTAAACTAAAATGTTAATTTGACATGCTAGCACTAACTAACACGCAATTTAATGCGTGGTTTTATAGCGTGGTCTTGCGTAAACGTGAATGAGTGATCCATAAAATACTATATATTACCAATATTTAATAATTTTAATCTGAATTTTTAATTAATAGGAAAAAGCGACAATACCAAAATTAATTAAGAACAAAACTAATCAAAAAAGTAAAAATAAAGGAAATCAAAAGCCTAAAGTAAAAGACACCGATCTAGAATTTCTAAATAAAGAGATTAAACAGAAAAATAAACAGATAAATATAGAAAACGAAAAAAAGAAGAAAGCGGATAAGGAAGCTAAAGAACTTTTGAAGATGGAAGCAAGAATAAAGGAAGAAAATGAACAAAAACAAAAGAAGGAGCAAATGAGAAAATTGAAAGAACTTAAAAAGGAATCTGAAAATTATAACGAAGCTTATTCTGAAGAAACTCAACTAGAAGAATTTAATTCAGAATATTTTAATAAACAAACAGATAAAGAAATTTTCTATGAATATATAGAGATGATTTTGTGGGAAATAAAGGAATTTTATGGCGAGCCTTTACTAGAAAATTATGTTGATATAGATAAAAGTATAATAGAATTTCTTGATAATGGTTACAAATATAAATATTTTGATGGACATGGAGAACAATTTAAATTAACCATTAAATGGCGCTTTGATAAGAATAAATTTAATGAAATTAGACTACCTTTTAGTTCAATAATTACGGAAAAACGGGCAATAAAATTAAAATTCAATAAAATATTTGATGAATTTGTTAAGAAAGTTTTATATTTTTATAAAGCTACATTTGAACTTTTGATAAAGCTTGTTAAAAATAATTTTGAAAAAGCTTTGGCAATTGTTTTAGACAAACATCATGTCCCAGAAAAAATTATTTCTGTTGATGAAATATTAGGTTTGTTTTAAAACTTTTTATCTCGATGGAACCGGAGAGTTTCTCGTGGAACCGGAGAGTTTCATTCTCCGGTTTCATCGTTCTTCCTAGAAAATTCCAAATTTCTTCTTAGATATCACCTACGTTGAAGGTGATAATTTAGGAATTAACTAAGGGAATTGAAGGGAATTAGGGGGAATTTGAAGGAAATTATTTAACTAGATACAGTAATTGATCAACACAATGATAAAGGTTAAACGATTATAAATTAAAAATATATTCAAATCCCTCTTAGTGGCAAACGGGAATCCATATTTAACATTTCCTGGTCCCATTTATTTTATATTCCCAAATAATTACTCTGAAAACTATTTTTAAGACTCTCGCCATTCGGGGTAATTAACCGAGAGAAGCATTATTTTATGAAGTTATTTATTCGGGCATAGGTTATAAATACTTATAAATTTATTTAATTTATTTATTTTTAGATAAATTAAATAATATAAGTAATAAAAATATTTCTGATAGACACATTATAATCAAAGAATTATTTATTCAAGAAACAAATATTGACGATATTGATACAAAAAATTTATTATCTACAAACGCAAAAATATTATATTATTCACCTTTACTAAAAGAAATAAATGAAATGTATTTAACACATGGCAAAGGATTGTTAATTTATTATATTGTTGAAATTATTTGTTTAAAAAATCAGTTTGTTAATTTCATTTTTAATTTGAATTATTTTACAATATTAAATCAGATTATCTAAATAACAATCACTGCAATCTAAAAAAGCTCCAAGTGTTCTAACAGCCGTATTGATATAACAAAAATGAAAACCGCTAAGGGGGAGGGGGGGGGTGAATTTATAAATTTAGATTAACTCACCCTAACTTTTGCTTTTTTTGACTATTTTCTGCAAATACTTCGGCTTTTATAGCATTTGTTATGAAATAAATTCAAAAATTATTGATATCAATTTTCTATTTCAATATGCCTTGAATCACATAAGATTCAACTATGATAATATACCGCATACGCTAAGTAACGCACAACTTCGTTCAGGATTGTCAACTCTAGGACGCCTTAGCATGTTTCGATGCGACTCGACGCTCTGAATCCAACCATAACGGGGCGTTTTGGATTCGGTAATTTTGAATAAGTTATAGCTTGCGGTACGGTAGTGCGAAACTTGCGGACCGACTTTTGCGGACCATAGATGTAGGTTTTTGTTTTTCTATCGTAACTTTGTCAAATCAAGTCAGATTTCGTTGATTTTGATGTCATTCGACTCAGCTCGTCGATGTTTCGAGAATTTCTTCGGGTCCGCAAGTTTTGGTCCGCAAAAGTCGGTCCGCAAGTTTCGGCCTGCCTGCGGTACCATGGCCTGCTCCCTATAAGATAAAAAAATTTTTAGATTGTATTTTTGTAGCGATTTATATTTGTAAACTTTCTTCAAAAATTATTTATAAATTAAATTACATTTTTTAATCGAAGCCCTGATTTAATTTATTTTAAATTTAGTTTGAATATTTTACTAGAAAGCGAACATGCAATATTTGATTTGAGTATAAATATAAAACATCACAATTTAGAAAAACTAAATAAAGTTTTGACGCTTCCATTTTATAATGAACTAGCAGAAAACGGAAAAATTATGGCTAATTTAAAACCCAAAAGGGGTGCAATAAACAAATTAATATCAGGGCAAAAAAATCTAAATAAAATTCAAAAAGATATTGAAAAGATGACAGAGAGATTTAAACTTGTATTTGGAGATTGTGCACGTATTGTGCATGCAGCAAATCAGAAATGTGAACTAATTAAAGAAATTTTAAATGAATACTTTGGTTCTAGTAGTATAAATTTAGAAAATGATGGAAATAAAGATAAAATAAATGATGCAGAAATTAATGTTGATGATACACAAGGTTATCTTATTAGATGCCTTTTACCTACGTTTGTTAGGACTTCACCGAAAGGACTTCACCGAAATCCAAGGGAAAATTCCGATAATAAATTTTCGTTTCTTTGGATTTGGATATCTTTATCCGGTAATAATTTTTGAGAAGCAGCTGTTTAACCTAATTTTACATAAAAATATTTTTAATTACATTAATTAGAATATCTAAAAGTAAAGATATAAAATAGCAAGAGATGATAAGATAGATAGCAAGAGATAAATAGTAAAAGGCACTATATAAATAGTAAATAGTTGTCATGTAACTGAGCTTAGGGTAAGAAGATTGAACATGAAGATGGACATGTGACTTTGAGTCTTTTGTTCTTTGAGATTCCTTTTAAATAAGGCTGCAATCTTGTTCGGATAGAAACGTCAAACTACTCAAAACATTGTCTGATTGGACCTAAATTTTACAAATTATAATATTAACCTAAAATTAATTTTAAATTTAGTTAGAAACATAATTGAAGAAGACAACATTCTATCTGGAATACCATTAACTAATAAAGATAAAATACCTCAAATTGAAGATAAAAACATAACTGATGAATCTGAAAGTAATAAAGATAAACAGATAATGGTTGATGATAACATTCCATTAGGAGTACCATTATCAATTAACAATGAAATAGTAAAAAATGCAGATGATAAAAATATAACTAATGCCTCCGAAGGGAATTGAATTTAAAAATTTAAATTTTATATTTTCATTTATATTTCAAAAACGTGCTAAACCGACAAAACTTATTGCAACCTAATATTTTGCTGTACTTGCTCCAAATATTTACCTTTGATTCGCCCCAGTTAGCCGAGTCGAATATTACAACTTCCCGATATCACAAATAGCTGTGGGCCGTGATTTACCCTGAAAATCGAAAAACCATGGGGGGGGGGGGAGGGATACAGTACAACGCTGATTTTTGGCACCAAAAATTCGAATATGAAAAGCTCGCTCAGTTAGAGCTCGTCGAGCTGAGTCGAAAGACCAAAATCATTACATCTAAATAATTGGACTCGTATTGTGGACTCGTACCTTTCATACTTTGGCCTTGTTCCCAGTTTGTGTTTTGGTCTAATATCGGTTTTATTTTGGGGAGATTTTTTTTAATTATTAATTTTCAAAAAGTTTTGGTTTTTTTAATTTCATAAAAATAGTTCAAAATTTTCAGTTATCAAAATTTTTGGTTATGTACATATAAAACAAGTCTGGCCAACTCTATAAAGACAGAAAAATATGTAATATTATGCCTAGAAAATTCAAAATTTAATTTTTTTTTTAATTTTGTTTTTCTATCGATATTATTTCAACATTAATAATTAACTAAAATAAACCACAAAAATACAAAAAATTCAATTCATCTTTCTATTTTTTTAAAATAAATAAACAAACTTATAAACTAGCATAAAAACTAATCATAAACACCAAAAAGCTTTGCCAAACTTGATTTCTTCCAAAAATTTGTTTTCCCAAAGGGAAACGAAAAGCGGAAGAAACTTAAAAAAAGTGGAGTAAAAAATAAGAAAAAGCTCATTCCGGTTCCCATGCCGCCCAGAATTTCCTCCCTTCTTTCCCCTTCCATCTCCCACGCACTCCCCCTCGGCTGCCAAACTGCATTTGATGAAAAGTGTCCTTTTAAAAAGAAAAAAAAACTAAAAATCCAAAACATAAAGAGATGAAGATTTGAAAAGAATAAGTCAAAAATGAGCTAAAAATTTAAGTAGTCAAAATACGCAAATTAAGCCAAAAAATATTTTAACTTAATTTTTAAATAATTTTGTCAAATATTAATTTATAAATTTATTTTAATATTTATTTTTTAATTTCTAAATTTTGATTTTTAATTAAAAATGAAAATATTATTTATTAAATACATATGTACATGAGGAAATTTTTTTGATATTAAAATATTACATATTTATTTATTATTTTTTTTGAA